GGAAAATATAAAATTTGTATGTTTGATTCTGGTCTGGTTTTAAGACTGTAGCTTTACATGAAAAGCCACCTTTATTTTACATGGATCAAAGACAAAGAATTGATGTAGGCAAGATTCTCCATTTTATCAAATAATTTGTTAAGATTAAATTCATTGTTTGAAATATAAAATTTGCTATTAACAGTGAGGGGAAATGTTAGATGCTATTTCTTAATTTGCTGTAGTAAATATTTCACGTAGTCTTATATTCATCACTTTTAATTATATATATGTTAGCCTCTCATGTCTGTTAAAAATCTATTTTATTAATAGCTATACTCCATTTGCTAATGGCCCCAACGATACTCCTGAAGAGATACTGCTGCGTATAGGCAATGGAAAGTTCTCTTTGAGTGGTGGAAACTGGGACAATATTTCAGATGGAGCAAAGGTATAAATTGTAAATATGATTTGTTCTGTTGCGTTCATGTGAAATTGCTAAAATCTTTAAGTTATAGCCTAATGTTTATTTGCTGAGTATCCGATGGTGTCATATGTCAGTATTTGTTTTTAACTAAGTCAACATCTGTGTGTGGATTGATCAAGGCAAAGGCTGACTTTTGTTTCTGCCATTTTTCTGGGCCACCGTTTTTTCTCATCTGTGTATATATGTGCGGGGAGTATAAACTAGTTTCTATATTAATCAACACCAAAAATGTAAATCTGAGTAACAATACATATTTAAAGCCAACTAAAGTTTATGTCTACATTTAGTGTATTTTTATACATCATTTTCTGTTTAGCACAGGAATGATTGTGTAGGGAATTTTTATAATGTTATTCTTAAAGAATGTATATGGACTATTTATCAGTAGCACCTAGATATTTATTATTGGTGTCTTAGAGCAGTCAAATAGATGCAATATAATGTCCAATATATAATAGTCCAATATAATGCAAGCCATATATGTAATTTTAAAATTTCTAGTAGCTACATTAAAAACTAAAAAAGTAAAATTAATTTTAATATGTTATTTCATCTACTGTATCCAAAATATTATCTCTTCAATATCTAACCAATGTAAAAATATTAGTGAGATATTTTACATCCTATTTTCATACTGAGTCTTCAAAATATGGTGTGTAATTTACACTTATTTTTTTTGTTTGGTTTTTTTTTACAAATAAAGAAATTTATTTGAGGTTTCTATACTTACTTTGAACAATTAGTTAGATACTCTGTTACTAGAAACATGAAATTTACTCTCTAATACTGTTGAGGTTGTTATAGAAAAAAATTTTACACTGTATTTGTACACATTTCTTTTTTTTATTTATTTCAGCATATTATGGGGGTACAGATGTTTAGGTTATGTGTGTTACATTTATATGTCATGTGAATGTGAACTATGCACATTTTAATAGCCATGTGGCTAGTGACTGCCATTTTAGGACAGTTTCAGAGTAACTGACCTTATTTAATTTAGGGAAAAAATAATCAAGGCTTGAATACTAATTTCTTAAACTTGTAATTTTTAAATCTTAAGTTTTAAAATGAAAAATCCAAAGATTGACAGCATGTAGCTTCCCAGGCCCTGAAGCTTTTAAGCTATGATATGAAGTAGAATAAATTTTAAAAGCA